AGGTTTCCGTAGCCGTTTTGGCGAGTCTTTGGCAAAATTTGATGCACACGCCATTCCGAAATCGCAGGAGGGTCGGTGTAATGCACTACCAAAACGCCCGTAACTAAGAAACAAATGCTAATTCGATGATGCCGGGTGGCACACTGATTCACTATGAATGTAGGCCGCACCCCCTAGCGGCAGAAGCTCGTACTACATCCGGTTTGCCCTCTATTGACACAGTCTTAAAACTTTCCGATCGCACCTCGTAACTAGGCAACCAGTAATAATGAGGGTGAAATAAACACCCAATTTGACCTTGATCTATCCTCTACCAGTGATACAAGTTTCAACTTGATCTCTTCACTTAGTAGCAGTGGACGAATGTTTCTGTACAGACATGTTTCTATGCTCGGTCGGAAAATGTCAAATTTTAAATTGGAACAATGCATTTCCATCAGATTTCTTGTTAAACTTAAGAAATCTGCAGCGGAAACATTTCAGTTATTGACTGAGAATTACAGTGAAGATAGTATGTCTCGTGCATGGTGTTTGAATGGCACAAACGGTTTTTGGAAGGCAGGGAGAGTGTAGAAAATGATGAGTGCTCAGGTCATTCATGCACATCAATTTTCTTTGATATCAAGGGTGTTTTGCGATTGCAGAGTGAGTTCCCAGTGGCCAGAAAGTAAATCAGCAATATTACATCGAAATATTGACAAAATTTCATGAACAAGTGAAAAGAAAACTGCCAGAGTTGTTAAAAAACTGGTAATGCGCCATCCCACACAGCTTTGTCTGTGAAGCAGTTTTTAACCAATAAGATCATAACTGTGCTTGGCCACCCCTCCTATTCATCAGACTTGGCTCCCTATGACTTCTTTCTCTTCTCCAAGATCAAATCCATGCTCAAAGGAAACCATTTTGAGACGGTAGAAGCAGTGTAAGAAAAAATTATGGAGCTGCTGAACAGCCTTACTGAAAAGGATCTACAGCACTGCTTTCAACAGTGACAGCATTGTATGCTGCTGTATGTCAACTCCGAAGGGAACTATTTCAAGGGTGATCATAGTTCATTTTTGTAATTATGTAAATAAAAAGAGTTACAGCATCAGCCTCGTTATTTTTGTTGTGTCACTCAGACAAATCCAGCAGCAGTGGAAAATCATCCCAGAATAATGCAGTTGGGTTCCGTCACGTATCTGCTGGACCAGTCCAGGGTGAAATCTGGGCTATAACAGCAACAGGAGTAGTGTGTCGTCGTCATGGTGTAACACCTGACAATCCTGCAGGAACAGGGTGGACACATGGTATTGGGGTGAGTTGCATGCTGAGTCCAGTGTCTTGGAAGAAAACCTTAAAAAACAGAAGACATATTCTTAAAATCACTACTAGTTAAATAATTAAGAAAGGAAAATTGTATTGTATTTTAAAATTATTTGCATCAGATAGTCAGTAATGTACATACATAATCATATAGAAATAGTAATTATTTATGTTACTGTAGCCCTTTATGTTGTGGTTAGTCACCATTCTAACGGCATCTCAATAATTAAGTAGGATTTGGAGTTTTTGAGGTGGTGAGTCTGAAGATGGCTGTCTTCTGGGTTGTTGCGCCATGTAGTCTGGTAGAAGTTTACCAACATTTCAGAGGTCCTTGCTACCTCCATCAAAAGAAAAAGTGGCTTAACTCACGTAGACTTACTGACGCATTTATGCCAGTTTGCTGTTGAGAGCTTTAATTTGAGGTAAAGATACAGAATAGACATCAGAATTGCTTCACACAGAAAAGTCTGTTTAGAAATGTCCCCATACAGAGAGTGCCTGAAGTGGGCTGAAGTAATTATTTATACAGCTCATAGAACTGCTGGCAGACCTCAAAAGCATATAATAAGAAATAAAGGCTTTAAAATCAAGCCAAGCAGGCTGGCTCAAGTACAGGCCATGACCACTTCGTGTCGAATCCTTTCGAGTTCACTGATGTCATTAAATAGGAAATAACCTGTTTATATGATCAAACATACAGCACACACTAGAATTAGCTTGTATTCCCTTTTACAGAATACATTCTTTTGTACTGAGATTTCTCCATTTCAGTCAGCAGCCTTATAATACAGAAGATAAGAACTGAGAAAGAATTTGGAAAATTATGATGATAAAAACTAAAACAAGGTTAGAGATGTGGATGCCAAATATTAGTCTGGCTAAACATTTACCAGTGGTCAAGTCATTCAAAGATGGAGTCATTTTCAGATACTACATACCAGATGAACAATGAACAGTCTGGAATATAGATCTATAAAACTGTGTGACCAACGGATGTTCATATGACATTACAGTTTGCAACAACAACAAATTAAAAATTACCTCTTGGAGAGAACCATTTTAAATACAGTGAACTCCTGATTATCCAAACTAAAGAAGGGGATAAGACACTTGAATAAAAAAACATGGAGAATCCAAAATATTTTGTTAGGTGCATTCACAGAACTTCACAAATTAATTAATTTTTTATGCAACTGATGTTTATTTTGAGAAACAGACTGTAATGATCATTTGGTTCTCTAAATTCTTTAAATTCCTCCTCATGGCAGTACAAATTTTACTCTCATGAATGGTAAGTAACTCATCTGAATAGCCAATGATTGAATAGAAAAGCTGACCAGTCATGAAAAATATGCATAATATCTGGGAAATTCAAACCAAATAATATGTATTTTGTGGGAACAATTCTCATTAAAATTGTAGGAAAATTAATGGGATTGAAATAAGATGGTGTAAATAAAAAGGATATGTACATTGTGGGAATGTGAATACGAGGTTCTACTGCACTGAATTGTGATCTGATGACAGACTGAAGTATCTATTTGTATTTCTTGTACAATTACATTAGTGATACTGAGATGAGTTTGTAGTTGGAGGAGTAGGTTTGATATTGTATACAGAAATGGTGCAAGATGTAGGTAGAAAGAGACATTTCATAACTGATAAATCAGTATTTGATTTGAGTTTGAGATACTTTTATTTCTCAGTTTATCCTGAAGAAATTCAAGACTCAGTGACCTATTGAATTGTTGCATTTTTTGCAGGGAAACTGGCAATATGCGAGTGCAAGAGGATGCAACATCAAACCCCTGGAGTCTTCTTGCTGTTGATCTCAGTTTCTTTGTTCTGCTTCAACTGTAGATGGGAATAAGATATACAGTTAGTTATATGTGCACGTAATGTCTAGGAATTGCATCCACAGTTTGTATGTCTCTCTTGGGCCGTCATAGTACTAGAATAACAACCGCTGGCAAAGATGAGAATCAGCAAACGTAAACATAAATTGTTAACACATTCTGTGCCAAGATCAAGGATTTCTCTATTTAAAATTCTTTACTGCTGTCAGTTTTCCTTCTGTAGTTTAATAACACTTATTCTACTACATCAGGTAGGATATTTGTTTGAATGATTAATGAGTTGGTAATGATGTGGTCATGACTTATTTTAATTCTCAGTGATGGTGTGTGAGTTCAGATTCAGTACCTTTGTTGCTAAACTGATATTTTACTGTATTGCCTTAAGGAATTATAAATTCAGAAGAAATTGCATATTTGTGGTTACCATGTTGCCAGCATCAGGTTGATGAAATAAATACTTGCGTGTATAATATAATGCACTCAAAATATAAACAAACATAGTTGAAACTATTCCCAAAAGTTTGCAGAAGCTTACAAAGCATTTTCATTTGAGTCTGTCAGCAACGAGTGAGAACCAGTATATTATTGCAGCAAAGAAATTAAAGTACTTGTCTGGAGAAACTGGAAAAAGAGAATACCTCAGTCAGGGTTATGGCATGTGTATGTACCTACCTGCACATGTCTGACGTATGTAACCGGGATTTAAGTAAAAGTTAATTGGACATTACATACTTCTGTCTTTCATTAGGCAATCCTCAGCCCTTTGCCATTTACATTGACATTGATCTCTGTGTTTTACAGATCTCTTGAAATATTGGATGTTGATTGAATGCTTCATATTAGATGTCTAACTGTAGAAATAAAGGGTATTTCAGAAAGTTTGGCAACAAACACTCCTCTGTGTAGGACTTTATTCTTATATAGATGCATGCATGATACATAAGAAGACTTTGGTAACATCACTTTTCTGTGTAGTCTCCACCACCCATCCCCCCCCACTTTCTGTCTCATTTAAGCTTATTTGCGGAATAAGACACATTAATCATTAATGCTATTTAAATTACTGACCCAGTGTATTAACTAATAGGTAAGGTGGCTAGCGAACCAACCAACACAATCACCCTTCATCAAAATCAACACTTAATAACCGTAATTAGTTTTTCAAGGATGTCCTGGTCATTACAGACCTCACAGGCACACAACCATAAAAATCCAACCATTCGACCCTATTCTGAGTCAGCTGACTACATTTCATATCCTGCAGTCTGCTTTCAATAAATACGTAAATAAATTACGTTTAAGTATTAAAATAATGTCGCAACTTATTTTAGATTTGTAGCTCTTACTACTAAGGTTTATACAAAAACCGACTTTTAAAAAAACCGGTTTTCAAATTTCAGTATTTCCAAAAAACCTGTTTTAGAATTTTTATAAAAAAACAATATAATTAAAACAATAAAATATATTTGTACTTATTTTAGAAAAATTCAGTTTATTTAATATTTATGGAACTACAAAAACATAACAAAATAAAATATACTCTATACAAAACCAAATAAAAAACTAAAATAACTAAAATCCGTACAAAATATAAATTTTTATTTCATTTAGTATTTTTCTTCAGGAAATGTGATTTCAAAAAACATAAAATGTCCACTGAACGATTACTTAATCTTGTTCTTATTCTGGATACAAAATTGCCTGAAATATAAAATACTCTCTCACTGGCTACTGAACTTGATTTTATCATTTTCAGAGCATCAGATAATAAATCTAAATTCTTTGTTCTTTTATTGGTTGCCTCAAATACTGAAAATTCGGCCTTCAGTGTCTTTCGATTTGATATTATTTCTTCAGGTTCCTCAAGAAAATATATTATAGACAATATTTTTCCAGATAACTTAATATGTAATATCAAGTTTCGAAGCTAGTGGAAATACACTAGATTTATTTGTTGAAATGTTTTGTGGATTTTGCAAATATAGCAAAAGGGTTACCAATCCAACTTGTCTTCTTTCTTGAATTCGTACTTCTAAAGCATTTAATAATTTGGAACTAATTTCAGACTTTAAATTTTTTAGTTAATTTAACAGAAATTATTACGTATTAATTCTATTATCTAAAACCGGTTTTTTAAATTTTAAAAACAGGTTTTCGAATTTCACAAATTTATCCAAAAAAACTGTTTTTAAAAACTGACAAACCCTAATTGTCACTCAACAGATGAATGTTACTGGTCAATGCATTGTATGGTGTGAGTGAGAGAGCCAATCAGACGCAAGAGCTGTGTGCAAGTGGCTATGTCACTGGGTTTGAATATTTTCGAACCAAGGACAGGACGCTTGCAGCAGCGCATCAGTTTGGCACACTCTAGAACAAAATTTGAACACATTAGCATGCACGCCAAATACAATTCTGAAATCTTCTTGCGGTTAAAGACAAATATCATCTGTATTGTTATTGACTAAATAAATAGTGTAAAAGAAAAATATTCAGCAATAGCAGCAGCCTCTAGTTGGCAGTTACTGCCGTTAACACCCCTGGGGAGATTCAAGTGTCTACTGAGGAGCCAAGCTCCTATCACTGAGTTGTTATATGTAAGCATTTTTCACACCATTACAACAAGGCATCTATCCCAGTGTGGAAGGAACCAGTATCAATCACCGTCAGTCAGGAAACACTGTGCTGTGCAACACCATAAGTTACCAATTTCTTATTGGCCTGGGGGTCCAGAGAGATGGAAGTCACATGTTGAGACTGTATGGCAGGTGGTCTAGAACTTGATTTTTTAAACTACCCCATATCTCAAGAGACATTTATATTGTGTTAAAATTATGACAGCATATTTGTAAAACACTAAACATAATTTCAGTGCCTACCACATAGATGTAAATAAATTTTGAATATGAAGATCCATTCTCTGCAGTACTCCAAAACAGTCAGTGCAGCACAATGAGGTCACACTGGTTGCTTGAATTCCACAACGTAATGGTGCTTTTGTCTTTTCAGTGCACAGTAGACACACTTCAGCTTTATAGTGTTTTCAGTGACTGCAGTAATTTTGGTGAGGTTGTACATATAGGCAAGCATCTCTTTCTACCTGTGCACTTCAGTAATGTGAAGGTTCCAACCATTTCTTGCAGTAAATCTGTTTTGCATATCATCTGCCTGTTCTCACTGCACAGTGCATGATGTCTGCTTGTCATATTATAAGGAATAAAATTTGTTCAAAATGCACACATTTAGTCCAAAATTAAAAATAAATTCACTAATTTATGGAAGATCTTACAGCTTCATAATATTTTTGCAACTGGTCACTCAAATCCACTCTTCCCATTTTGTATGTGCAATTAGCCACAGCTGTTGAGTTTGTATTTTGATATCCTTTGTGTCCCTTCTTACTTTCTCCTGCATTATAACATCAGGTCTTCGATCTGAATTTGTAGGAAGTAGCAGGATATCATGCTGATCCCTGCCTAACTTGATGTGGGTTCTATGTCATGAGGTGCTTGGAAAAAGCATAAGCAAAACAATTGAATTACAGCAAAATAACAGTGTATCTTACCCATAATACATGTTAAATGACACAAACACAACACACTTATTCATGAACTTTGCCCTTTTATATCAGCAAAATAACAGAAAATCCTTTGAACAATGTAAAGCTGGTCTTAAAATCATTTACATAAAAACCAAGAACAACTTTCTTTAACAGTGTACTGATGACTAATGGTTCAGCAAACAAATACTAGAATAATATCTGTGCACAGTGTACTAGCTGTCCATAATACCAGCTTAGGAACAGAAACACCTTGTTCTCCCCTGAGAACTGAGAGAGAGTAATTCCTATGGGCTACAACATGACCACCAAAACCACCCCTCTCTCTAAACCAGCTCAAATACAACCTCCCCATGCTTGCACACAGGACACAATAGGAAGGAAACAGAAGGATTTTGATGAGCCACATCAGTCAACTGCAGGTTAATCACCCAGCCAGTAGCAAAGAGCCAAACACAATGGCTCAATCACATTCAGCAGTTGTGAAACAATCATGTAATTTCTGTGTCTTCCATGATGTTTCCCTTTCAGAGCTTTAGGTGTTTCAAATTATCTGCATCAGCATTTTCATTATAAAAGAGTAGTTCCATGTGCATACATTTTCTTTTACAAAAGGAATTTCATTAGTACATTTCTGTGCATTCTTCAGTCATTTGCAGTAACACAGATCTTCATCTTGGTTCCT